TAGAGATAGTAGAGATAGTATAGTAGATAAAGATTCAGATCCTGATTATTTTACTAGTCTTACTCAACCCCTGCAAAACCTCCATCTACCCCTTGACTTACAACTTGTAAATAGTATGCGGCACCTTCTACACTACAATAGTATTCGTGGTCCAACCGGCAGTAAAGAAGCCCTAGCTGCCACTCCTGAATTCTTTCCAGCTAAACCTTCTTTATTACTAAGTAGTCCTGAATTTTATCAAAAACTAGATATGGATACACTCTTCTTTATCTTCTACTTCCATCAGAATACACCCAGACAGTACTATGCAGCTAAAGAACTCAAAAACTACTCCTGGCGATTTCATACCAAATATATGGCCTGGTTTCAGCGATTAGAGGAGCCTACAGTGATAACAGAAGAGTATGAACAAGGAACGTATATATTCTTTGATTATGAAGTATCTTGGAGTAGTCGGAAGAAGGAAAACTTCCGATTTGATTACAAATACTTGGAAGATGTATGTCTATAAATAGCAATACAATGCAAATATTTTAATGGGTCCGAATATCTTACTTTTGGGTTTAGAAGTCTTATTGCGTACAACAGGTGATGTTCTTCATGTTATGTCTATGTTGGTTCTTTTGTTCAAGATAAGACGAACGCGATCTTGTTCGGGTATTTCTTTAAAATCACAAATTCTGTACATTTGTGTGTATGGCTGGAGATATGTAGATCTTATCTATGTTGGTTTGTATCCTAAGTATGTTATGCGTAGTTTTAGGATGGTTTACAATACGATTATGAAATGTTTGTTTATTGGGTTGCAAAGTCATATTATTTACAATATAGTGAATAAGTACTACTATTCTTATGACTTGGAGTTTGATGTGATGCCTTTATGGGTTTTATTGGTGCCGGCGGTGGTGGGTGGTGGATTTTTGACTTTACCTGGTAATTGGAGTAGAGGGGATGGTTTACAGATGGGGGTGGACTGGTTATGGGCGGCTTCGGTGATTTTGGAGTCGGTTTCGATTGTACCGCAGTTAGTATTGTTACAGAATGCTGGGGAGGGTGAGAGTTTAACGGTTTACTATGTGGTGTTTATGGGGTTGTATCGGTTGTTTTATTTGGTATCTTGGTTAGTTAAATGGTTGAATGATATGAAGATATCGCAATTGTTGTTACTTTCATCGGTTGTACAAACTTTACTGTACACGAACTTCTTTTCGATTTACATTCAGTCATTCATTGCTAAAGGGAAGAGTTTAAGGTTGTATCCTCCTACTTTTGTCCGAGAGGCCTTTGGGATCCGCCATGACCGGAAAGAGTAGAATGTAGGCCCGAAGTACCAATAAAGAGTTCAAAGTTAAGTTAAGTTTAGATTAGTATTGTGTTGGGTTGGGTTTAGTCAGAGTTACGTTTGGTTAAGTTAGATTAGGACTTAGTTGAGTATTAAGTTGTGCCCTGGGGAGGATAACGGCTTCTTATCCAAATATACTCAACGAGAGACAAGTTGGTATTGTGGTGGTATTATGTTGGTATACGAGTTAGTGCAGTTTATAGATCTGGTATATTCTTCTGTAAGTTCTTTATGTATGCCATAGAGAGTTCCTTATCAATTTTCGTCATATATTTATACTCTAATTGAGTTGGTTTGATTTGGGTTAGTATTGGGTTGTTTAAGGTAGTAAGGAGTAAATATCTACCTTATCTGTAGTTAACTCGTGTAAAGTAGAGATATCTCGAGATTCTTATTAAGATGTGTGGGGGAATGGTAC